TTATAAAATGTATGGTTTTTGATAAATAAAATACGCCTATAGATAAGTTTATATTTAATTAAATACATCTGTACTAGATGTTAGGTACAAATTATTCAATAAAAATATAAAACAATTACACAAGGTTCATATATAAAATATAAATATRTAAAATAATTAAGTATAACTGTTGTCTGTTGTGTTTGTTATCAATAAGTATTAATTATCCATAGTGAGTACAGCTGCTTCAGTGCTTGTCGTCTCATACATTTCTAGAGGTACAGAATTATTTAGACACAATACTTAATAGTTCGAATTATTATAACAAAAGTGAAGTCTTTTAAAAAATCACTGCAGAGTATTGATAAGCTCTTGAAAACTTTCAATGTACCATTTCGACTTCGCCTTTACTTCTTCTCGAACGACATTACCACCAAATCCTTAACATAATAATTTTACAATTAAATAAATAAATTTWTAAATTGAGACAAATAATATTATTAGATAGAAATACAAAAAATACCATAGGAAAGCTTTAAAAATCTAGTAAGCAGTAATAAAAAGTATAAATCAAACATGAATATTGATGAGCCTGTGGTATTTTTTAATTTTCCTGTTTAATATAATATAACATTTTTAGAAATTTACCGATGAATGCGTCAGCGGGTGGAGATGCTTCTAAATCAGTAATTCCGTCTCCAATCATAAACAATTTCGTATAACCATATTTTTCTTTTAACATGTGTATTACTTCAGCTTTACCACCATTTTTTGACGTAGGTTCTTTTTCGTCAAATCCTGCATAGTCTCCTATACATATAAATATTATAAGTAAATATAATAAGTAGGTATATATGAGATGTATATAGGTTTACCTTCTTCGTCAAAAAATTATTATTCTATATAATAATCACAAAAATAGTATCTATTAAAGTATAATTCTGAATAATTTATTTGAGTAATATTAAATTTTACAAAAGTTTTTATTCCTACATATTTTACATGAATTAAGATCATAAAAAATGGTAAAGTGTAATATACATTGTAATTACTAATAACATACAACAGTATGAATCAGCTGTAGTTACATCAAATGAATCAACAAAGCAATAAATATAGTATATACTGATATACACTAATAGGTATTTAAAATCTTGAAACAGTTGGAATCCA